AAAATAAAAGACGACACAGGACAGATCTATTTCTCCGCCCCGAAGTCTGATGCAAACTCCTGCAGTTGTTCCGAAAGGCAAGGACCTGAAGTTTGCCACTGTGGCAACTTGCGGGACTTTGTGGCTGAACAGACCTGCCGGGGTTGTGTTGACTTCAGGCAGGCCATGGCAGAAAGAATCAAAAGAATTTAAAGACCCGCAGAGGTGGCTTGTGATTTGGCTTTTGTTTGGTCTTGTTTTCTTTTTAGCATTATCTTCTCCCCTGGCTTCCCGGTTCCTCGGCCCCTTGAATGTGGATTTCACATCACACACTGTTCTGTTCTGTGCGCTCAGGGCCTGAGACAAAGTAGAGTTGTGAAGTTGGTTTGTTTCTTTGGGGCTTATTTGTATGTTTATTTAGAATTTAATATATGAGTACTATATTTGTATCATTTTCCCCTCCAACTCCTCTCATGCCAAACACACCCCTCTCCCTCTCAGGTTTATGGCCTTTTGTCATTAAGTATTATTGTTACATAAGCACATGCTTAAATACAACCTGCTGAGTCCATTTAGTGTGGCTCAAATGTGTATGATTTGGTTAATAGAGAACGTAGTTGAAAAGACCCAGGGCATGTACCTTTATGGGTACACTGTTTTCTGTTTCCCCGCTAAGTTTTTTTTTTTTTCTTTCAGGCCAGAACAATAGAGATGGGATAGAACATTCCTGTAGGAGGGTGAAGAAGAGAAATCTGAATAGTGAGTCAGAGGCAGAAGAGTCAGTTGAGGCCAGAGGGATAGTGAATGGGGCAAGGCTGCGTTGGCTAAGCTGGCTGAGCCAGCTTTCTGGCCAGCATGCCCAATGGTCAACGAGACCAGAAGGAGGATGTGACTTCATATATCAAGAAACCTAGACTACCGAGTTCATAGCAGAGTCAGGAACCCACATGGAAACTGAGCTCCCTATAGGCTACATCTGAGCAGGGGTCTAGGTCCTCTCCATGGACCTAGATTGGTGCATCAGTCTCTGCAGGACCCTCTGGGATCAGATTTTTTTAGCTTTGTTGGTCTCCTTGTGGCGCTCCTGTCCCCTCCATGTCCTGCTATCCCTCTTCTCCCATCATTTCCCGCTGGAGAAGCAGCCCCTTAAAAGTAGGTTTTTCCTGAATAAAGAGACCCATAAGAGCTGTCTCTGTATCACCATTGAAATATGGTACAGAATGCTTTGAAACTGCCAAAAGCTGAGAAGCAAGGGTAACAAGAGAGCTGGAAGCAGTGGCAGTATGAGTGGTCAGTCTCTGTCACCAAAGACAGCAGCTCCTGATGGATAGAGCAGACACAGTTTGACCAGTGGACAAACTCCTCTAATGCTCATCAACATGCCAGGCTCAGACCGGATCATAATGCTCACCCAGTGCATAACACTCATCAGGCCAATAGCTACAGCAACCTTTTTAAAAACAAAGTAGAATGTATATTATCCGGTACAATTACATGTTATTATATATAGAAATAATTACGTAAAGCTATATAATAAATAACGACATGTTGAGTTTATTTAAAGTGTTAATTGAATATTTTATATAGAAATAAGTATTTAAGTTTTGAAAGCCCAAAACAAAGATTTGAAAGATTGGAGCTGTGAAAAAAATTTTAATGCGTTCAGAAATCAAGATGGTATTCACCCGGAAGCCTTCTCCTTACTGGCTAGCTTTCATAGTTCTGGAATGTCTCCACTCCATGTACTAGCAAAAGAGAAAAGTAATAGCCAGTCTTATTTAGCTGTGAACCATGTGAGCTCAAATAACTAGCCTAGTAAGACGTGCCACTGCTGAACAATGGCACAAAAGTCATAAGCACAACCAGCCACCTTCCGATTGTATGTAAGGCCTGCTCCACAGGCTGAAAAGCATATCTGGCACCAGTATTAGGGACACCAAGAACCTGTGACTAGATGGGTCATTAGGCCTAAGGGAATGGCTAGAGATGTCACTTCGCTAGACATAAAGTTAAACTGATTTCTAATAACTTATCATTATACCACAGATTAGTACATTTCTCAGTTCTCATCAAAAAAGCTACTTCTTGTATTAGATGGCAACTAACACAGAGACCCACAAGTAGTCTAGGTGTAGAGAAGACAGGAGTATGAAACCCCCAGATTTAAGTGGGACATCTGTAAAAGAACCCTCTTCCCAGGGCTTAGGAATCATTACAAAAAAGGTGGTGGGAAGACTGTAAGAACCAGAGGGTGTATGTATATGACTTCAAGGAAACAGTGCCTCCCAGGTACAGCAGGGCAGCTACCCATAGGAATTCACAGTGACTATGATGGCACAGGGGCTGTGCAAGCACAAGCCACACCCAGGCTCAGCATGGAGAAATAGAGACAGGAACAAAGGACCCCATAGTCCATGGTGGGCTCACCAGGCTCCGGTAAAGGGCCCACATACAAGGGCCCTCAGACTGTGCTTGATGGGTTTAGAAAGAAAGAACGAACACAAAATTTGGCGGGAAGGGTTGTGGTAGAAGGATGAACATAGCTGAAACACATAGTATAAAATTCTCAAATAATTAACAAAAAAAAAAAAATGAGGAAAGATGTGTTCAGTGCGCTCTCTTCTCCCTTGACACTTCGAAGTGCCAACTTTTCAATGATTCCCACTATTAGCAACCTTAACACTGCCTTGACCAATGTCTGACACCGCCACACACCTGCCGCTTTTTCCCATTGCATATGCCCTCTAACATACTGTTTAGGTTGCCTACTTTTTACATCTTTTGTGCACCACAAGAAAGGTGGCTTCACGAGGCGAGGATTATTAATATTTTCACTGTGGCATCCCGGCATTTATATAGTATCCCTGTGCTCCTCAGTGGATATTTGTTGAAATGAATAAATAAAGAAAACACCACATATCACAACGCTATGACAAGAGAGCAATGTTTTACAGGGATCCTCCTTTAATGAGTGACATAAAACTAGCAACACAGAATGCAGCTTGGAGAATATGTGTGCATCCTTACATTTTTTTTTTCCATAGCAAGAGAGTAACAAGAATTTTCCAGTGTATAACTTACGTTTCTCATGTTTGTATAAGGCCCCTTTGTAATTGTCAGCTCTCACAGCCATAAACTTTCATCAGCTAGAAGCAGAATTTTGCATTAAAGTTGGTGATTATCCAGCCAAAAGGTTCATAAACTCCTTTCTTTATAACTAGTTGTAAACTTTCCTACTTCCTGTAGACAAAAAATTTTAAGGTTGAAGCATTTTCTTTGGGCAAACCCTAGCTAAACGCAGCTTTTCATGGGGCAGTGGAAAAACAAACACTTATTTTAACTGGCTTTTGCACAAAGCTCTTAGAAAGCCTTTGAAGCATTTCACAGTGGGCTGAGCCTTTTAAAGAACAGACTGGAATATCTTTAGAAAAAAATTCAAAAATTCAGGTCGGCATGACAATAAGGGAAATAGAGATTGTCAGAAGCGTACCCAACTTCTAGGCCATGGCAAGTAGGTTCAGCAGGTCGAAGGCCTGTGCAGGTAATCTAAGGCAGGAGGTGCAAAGCTGTCCCTGTGACAGCAGTAGTGAATGGCTTGTCAGAACAGTGATACTCATCATGGAAGCAATGCTGTTTCTCACCCCTCTGCCCCTCCAGAAATAGAAGACCACAGCAATATCATAGAAAGTGGTCATTCCTCTATACAGTCTGTAAAGCTGTGAAATCCTTCAAACTCTAATACTGCCTGTATTTAGCAGTCCTGTGCATTCAGATCTAGTTGCCATGTTGATAGACATGGTAAATAGGACTAAGTTCAAGAGCATCCATTCTGGTATCAAGCCCGAAAACAGGCAGGTCAGGCTAGGGCTATTCTACAAGCTAGCTGGAATCCACAGATCTGAGACTTGAAAGAAATTATCATGCCTGAAAGAAATCAATTTTTGAGCAATGAATTGCTTTATAAGGATTTAAAACCTGCAGTGTGGCCTCTGTAATATTGTCTGGCTGATAGAAACCACTGCCTTCAGGAGCCATGCAGCTCAGCCACTGACAAAAGAAAAGAGAGACCTGTTGTGCATGACTTGGAGACATTTTTTGTAGGTTAAACAGCAAAACTAAAATACTAAATACCATTTACTTTCCTCTCCTCTGAGACAGAAAGAAAAAAAAAAAGGCCCTGCTTATAGATAATAAAATCAAGTGATCTTATCAGGTTGCAGGACCCCATATAAACTCATTTTCATCATGGCCCTAGTTTGGGATATTATAATAATACCTTGAGTTTCAGAATGCACACTGCCTTTCTTCCTGGCACAGTGGTACTCTAACAGAGAAACATTCGGGTTACAGAGCTGGCAATGTTTCTTTGTGCAGAGGACAGTGCCCTAAGGAAATTCGCAGTAAATGGAGCAAGAATTTCGAGATGGTCCAGCTGAGAATATTTGAGTAAACCAGTTGGCCAGGAAAAAAAAAAAATGTTTTGTTCATTTTGCTTTACTCCTCCAGTGTCTCAAAACAAACAAGCAAGGAAAAAAAAAATATATGTGATCCTCTGTCAGAGTTTAATGGTGAGCAGCAAGTTTCTCCTGACATTTGCATGCATACAATATGAATCATGCAAAAGTTAAGTTCAACATTTTCTCATCGACTTCTCTGAGCAACCCTATGAACTGGGGGTTCTATTATCATCCCATTTTGTAGGTGAAGAAAGTGAGGCTTGCAAAGCTTAAAGAGCCTGTTTCAGGTCTACACAGTTAAGACCTGCAGCTAGGACTAGCATCAGCGTATTTCGAGTTATAATTCCTCTCAAGGATGATTATGTATGAGCCAGAAGGCAAGTGTCCCCTATGGGACACTTTATGGCAGCCAGCAGTAAGTCCAAGATACTCATTTTTCTGTAAGTAGTAGACCGTGGGAAACAGTACCTGGAAGGGCATCCTTCCAGCCTCTCCTCATCTACCTTTCAAGTGTGTTCGTGCATGTATACACATACACATGTCAATGTTCTCTCACTTCTCTAGATTTTGATTGGAGCCGTCATTGCCATGGGCTCAGCCGACAGAGATGGCCGACTACACCCAGGAGATGAGCTTGTCTATGTGGATGGGATCCCAGTGGCTGGCAAGACCCACCGCTACGTCATCGACCTCATGCACCACGCAGCCCGCAATGGGCAGGTCAACCTCACTGTGAGAAGAAAGGTGCTATGTGGAGGTGCGTACTGAGGTGGGCAGCAGGAGTTGGGGGTGGGGTGGGTGAAGCTTCGGGGAGACAAGTGAGCAACTGGAACCCAACTTAAAAGTGGTTTCCGTGTTATAGAGGGAAAGAAACAAGCCCGGTGTTCTACAAGTAACTATTTCCCAAACATGCAGCTTTTTCAACCCCACTAATCCAGTCTTTGAGGCCTACATTTTAAACGCACTCATTAAAATTTTCTAGCAAAACCTGGGGCTGATTCAAGATGTGTTGCGCTCTGTACTCTTTGGTACGTGCTTGTTATGAGAAAAACATTATAATAATGGGAAAAAATGCCTTTTGAAAATGTTTCTCATTGTGTTTACAAACAAAAGACCACAGCATTTTTATACTATAATAAGGAAAGCAGGATGGAAAATTAGCTTTCATTGTAGAGCCTGATAAAAAGTAACAATACATCTGCCACCCTATATGGGGGCATACAGCTCTCACTCTGAGAAAACATAATTCATATAGCTCTAAGCTTATGAAACAGATAAATTAGAAGCAATTATTTCCTTTACAGCTATTTTCTTGGCCTCAAAAAGAATCCACCAAAGACCGATATTTAAAAGTCAGCCCATTTACTCATAATATTATCTCATTTGCTTCTCTTCACTATCAAGTCTCAATGGAGAGGTCTTTTTCCAGGGGGGCATGTCACTGCAATCACCACACTGGGTTTATAACCTGAACACTGAATAATGTTGGCATGATAGATTTTTTTTTTCCTAAGACTTAACTGTCCTGTGGATCACAGGAGCAGAAACTCCAGCCGTGTTCCTCTCTCCCCTTCTGCTCCAGAAGCACTCATGACCTCTGCATTGAAATAGTGTGGCGACTGGGACTACCTCCTCAGCCACTTAAACACCCTCCTACAGACTCAACTCTAAAATTAGGAGTGACCTTAGCCACACCAGCCCTTTGCTTTACAGATAAGAAAACTGAGGCCCGAAGAACAGCAGAGCGCCTAATAGTCCGTAGTGAGTTAGTGACAATGCCCAAAGTGGACTCACTCTGGTGCCAGTCTTCATTTTTATGGTATTCTCAGCTCCAAATTCCACCTTAAGACACTATCCTCACACCCAGAGCCTTCAAAGACGGATCGCTAATGAATGTCACTTCCTAATTCTTCCATATGTGCTCACATATAACACTGGAATTTTTTAAAAGGCCACCTGCTAATCATAGGTTGTAGGTGAATAAAAAGCCTAAGATTTATTACTTGGACTAAATATCTCTTTCTTTTGAGACCTCTAAAAACTAGAGTTTGAGCAAGGGCAGTCATTTCAAAGGGCAAATCAGACGAATCATCAGACTTTCCCAGCAGAGTCCGCTATATATCTTGCACTGGATGGAGGGTTTGCTACAAGGTGCGATTTGTCTCCCAAAATCTATGGCATACCACTTTACCCAGAGAAATAAAACACCTTGAATTACGCCTTCTCCTTGAGTGACTGGTCAGGATGGAGACAGTGCTGGCTTGGTTAACATTTAACTGCCTCTTTCCCTACAGAATAATTTTTAATGACAACAACAACAACAAAAAGTTTGATGTGCTTATGTACTGTAGCCTGAAGATAAATTAAAAAGATAACGGATTTATGCGGAAATATACTACAAAGTGCAAATCCAGCACACCAACATAATTTCATGCTCTCCTTGCCACAAGCTGATTATTGCAAATTAAATTTTGTTCTAATCAACCCAAGCTGTTGGAATATAGGTCAAATGCTGCACAGAGGTACTCTTGCAAGGTCATTTGTAGGTCATGTGACTTCTGTAAAGCATTTCTTTGCTACAGTTCTTACCAAGTTCACTCTGCTGGGCCTCAGAGTGCAGTTGGAGTGCATTTAATTTTTGATAAAATTCCACCACAGATTACTTGCACTAGGAGAGATTCTGTATTCATTCAGCCAGACTCCTTGAAAGCTCCATCTGTACTGAGAATGATTAAATTCAAGACAGGGTACTTTGAGGGTAAAATAAATGCCTAAAGACCGGGTAGAAGAAATCTACAAGGCATAGAAAAACAAACTTCTTCCTAGCTGTCATTTCCCTGAAGTGATAAAGGACAATTCCAGATGGATGGGACATGGGAGATGTCTTTTTAAGTAGTGTTGCTATTATTCTGCTCTGGTAAGCAAGGCCGTGGGTGGGGCAAGCCTGGCTAAGAATGGGATGGTCCAGAGCTGGCAGGAAGTGAGCAATCAGCTTAGCAGAAGCACAGACACAGAAGATAAATTGTTGATGCATTATCTCACAGCAGCAGTTTATAGCATGGAGAGCTGCGGGGCAGGCCAGCCATCGAGATCATTCCCTTCCATGTTATCCTGGCCTTGGCTCGCACAGACACGCTGCTTCGTATGGGAAGGCAGGGACTGCTTTCCAAACTGATGTGTCAGAACAAGAACACGGAAACCACGGCACAGAGATAGGTTAATAACAGTGGACAAAGATTAAAATAGCACAAAAGCCTGCTCCAAATATATCCTAAAAAAACAAAACAAAAAAAAAAAAACAACATGTACACACTAAAAGTAGAAAGACAAAATGTTTTGACTTTAAGATAGACCATCAAAAATGAGAAATTGCTGGGTTAAAGGGAAAATGGTGTGATAACCCTGCAGCATCTTTTGCTAGGGAGTCACAAGCCTAAATCTTGTACCTTGAACTACTTTTGAAAGCTGTCTTACCCATGCCACCAGCTCTCCTATTTGGTTGGTCTTCCCCCTTTCACCCCCCCTACTAGGAAAGTAGCTTTAATTGCTCCACTGAAAGTATAAATATTTATACGTTTGTTAACTCAGCTTGTAGCTGTTCCCCCTAATGACACATTGTTTCGGATGCATATTGTGAGAGTCAGATGTCCTTGAGGAATCCCCTAACTTGTGAATCAGGAATGGATATGAAGGACAGTTTTATGGCTTAATCAAAACATGTTAGCGTCAGTCTCCAGGCTATCGGCATCGGCATCTTTCTCCAATACCCAGGGAGAATATCATTTTTGGCCCAGTGTTAAGGGAAACACACTGGTGGGCAGAGCCTTTGTCCGGTTCTACCTTTTGTCATCCCAAGTGCATCCCTTTCCGTTTGGGAACATCCCACCCATGCGGTTAGCTGTATGTCTCCCTCAATGAGTATAAACCACAGCTGTAAGAGATACTACGACGGTGTCTATACTTATGGACACCCCAGCCCAGGCTTAAGGCTATGGTCGTACACATGCCCCACGGTCCAAGCTACGCTTGAAGGCAGAATGTAACCATTACAGTCTGGAAGCAGGTCCATCTGGTTGACAGAGCCCTCAAGTCCTGCTACCTAGCATGGAGGTCTAGAAGGGAAATGAAGCCTCTGACTGAAAAAGCCCTGTTGGCTATATGGATTCCTTATTTAATGAGCATATGAATAGATTTGGTTTTTGCAAGAGGCATGGGGGAGTTGTCAGAAACACACTGACAACAGGCAACCGTGGTCCAGCTCCAAGAAGTCAAGAGAAATTATAAAATTGATCCCCCTACTTATAAACATCAGCAATTAGTTGTAACAATTAGCATAAGTAGTTTAGACCAGTTTCTCATGTCCCAATGAGAAGCAAGCCTCAGCAGTAGGAAATGTCCAAAGCCTCTCACCTATAGGCACCATCAGGCCCTCCAAAAGGAAGATTCGCCATGATGAGGTCTAGTATCACTGGTGGGGACAGAACAGAGCCTAAAACTTAAGTATTTAACTTCAGGAAAAGCTGCATGAATGAATTTTGAATGGCCATGTGTATATGAGCCAAAAGGCATCAGATGTACTTAGAAATGAGTGATTTCTTAATGTACATGGTATGGAGTCACATTATGGCCTTTTACTTTATGACTCTAAAGCAACCCTGCTTACGTGCTACAGCACAAAGAGTTTTTGGAAAGAAAGCAGTCCTGTTCAGATAGAGAGCCACATGACTAGGAAGCATTTGACACCAACCCCTTAAAGACAACAGCCATAGCAAATTCCAAGGGTCAGAGACCGCAGCAACTCTGGGAGAGCTTAGACATCTTCCCAAGCCTGACTTAAAACATGCTCATTTTGCTGAAGACAAAGGGATCTTCTCAAGAGCTTGAAAAGGGATCCAAATGCAATAGAAAGGTGGTCTGCTGGTGAGTTTGATTCTTTCTGTTACCCAAGGGCCACTCTCACTGACTTGGTCAGCAGCGATGTCTTCACTCTCTAGAACCCACTGTCTGGCCTAGCCACTCCCAGCCACTTAAGGAGAAGACAGATAATTTTTCTTTGTTGCTGATTCACTGACAACCACAGCTCTCAACTCCCCTAAAATATGACAGCCAGAAAATGAGATCTCTCTTGTCATTGCCTATGACATTTAGTTACTGATTTGGTCCAATAACTCTGGAGATTTTCAATTTAATGTAGCAGCATAATAATTGTTTGTTTTTCTTCTCCAAGACTATCTCTAATCACTTTATTTCCAACTTGTACAAGGACTGATAAAGGACATGTACTTCACCCAGACAATAACAGCCTGTCTTTGAAGGAGGGTACACTTTACAGACAGAAACATTCCATTCCAATTCGAAGTAAGGAAAGGCTTTGACAGTGACATTTCCTTCCTTTATGACCTCAGAACATTTCTTACAAATGAAAAGTATCTCTTTGTATTAAAGATTAATTAATTATATCTTAAAGAAAAATCTCAAATGGATCAAACTATAATAGCACTAGCCTGGATATCCGTTTTCCTATAATTAAAAGAAATGAAAGGGAAAGACTGTGGATCATCCCCAGATCTCTTTTCCCTTTAATGTACTTAATAAACTACCTCCAAAAATTAATTAATTTTCTAAGACCTTTTTATTACTAAGTGACTTAATTTGCATTTATTTTCTTCACATTTTTAATTGACTTAATGCTACTTCCAATGCCTCAGTATACGAATAAATGCAATTCTTTCTCTGGATATCAGTGTAACAAAACATCTTCTGTAGTCTCTTTTTTTTCCCTCTGACTTATTTCAGAATTGTTCGTCAGCTTCCTATTACTGTAACAAATGCCTGAGATGAATCAGCTTATAAAGAGGAAAGGTTTAGCATGAAAGGCCCATTTGCCTTGGGCCTGTAGCAACGCACAGTGATGGAAGCACCTAAAAAAATCCCATGTGCATCACAGCTAGAGAACAAAGACAAGGGAAGAAAGGGTAGACCCACCTCTCGAAATGTCACTACCTCCCAACCATGCCACACTCAAACAATACCGGAACTAACACTTGTGACACTAACAGGCTTCATAGGAACGTCCGCTGGTTACACTTAACTTGACACAAGATACTTCCCAGCGTTCTAAGTTGGATATCTACAGGCCCACAAGACATAAGGAACTGTGATCATTTTCTCTATCCGTTCTGTTGTACAGATGTCTTGTGATACCCTGATGAACGTTAGGAAGGAAACGAAGCAGCCCTGTTCCTCACTACAGCATTCTAAGAATCTGCCCGTTACTCCAGCCACCGCCACCAGCCCCTGGTAGTGAAACGTTAAAATGACAATCTCCTTCCTGGATGGCAAACCAACTTTCGTTTAAAAAAAAAAAAATGTGCCTCTCCGGGTAGAGAGAGATGGCTCAGCAGTGAAGAGTACTGGCTGCTCTTCCAGAGGACATGGGTTCAATTCCTAACAGCCACATGGTCGCTCACAACCAAATGTTACTCCAGTTCCGGAGGTCTAATGCCCTCCCCCGGCCTCCATGGGCACTGTGCATGCGCATAGCGCACATACGTACATGCGGGTAAAACACGCACACACATGAAACAATCACTAAAACAGTAAACCAGCCTCTCTTAGCTCCCAACTTCCTGTCATATTGCCACACAGTTGTGCTCGCTTCATTCTGGAAGTATTGGTTAGGTTTATCTAATTAATAACAGAGCGTCCTCTGTCATCCGGAATGCAAATGAGCAAGACTCCAAACACCTCTACTGAGATTTAACATTCACAGTTTGTCAGCCTGATATTATTGGATTTGCTCCAGACTGTGCAAACTAATTTTCAATGAAAAAAAAAAAATCTCAATTGATTTGTTTAGTCTTTCAAACTACTTCATTGAGATATGGCTGTCATATAAAATAATAAGCGGGCCACTTTTTTTTTTAAATCAATTTCCCACCTATATGGAGTGAATTAACACTTCTAGGCTAGCAAAATACCATAAGATAAAACTGTGGCTCCTTAAAAAATATGAAAATAAAAATAAAGCATATAGGAGGGTCCCTTTATAAAGCCATCCCTCAGAGCCGAACTTACAGATACAGCAGCATTCCCCAAAGATTTGAAATGTTACCTGTCTCCTGTGGCTGCATAGGAGCACTGACCCTAAAAACATGCTCTGGTGTCTGCCTTTATGTGGGTTCTGGGGATTCAACTCAGATCCTCAGGGCTGCACAGCAAAGTGCCTTTACTCACTGAGCATCTCCCCAGCCCGTTTATAAATTCTTTCAGGGCGTCCTATGGCCGAGATGATTTAAGATTCTGTCTACTTGGTTTCCTATCATCTTTAGTCGGTTACTATGCAACCAAGAGGCTAATATATAAAAGTTGTCATTGTCTCTGGGACTTGCAGTCATAACAAGAAAAAAAAAAAAAAAAAAAAAAAAAAAAGCAAGTACCAGGCTCAGAGGAGGCTAATGCGGGGACCGGCAGGCGGGGGAGGGTTGCCTGTGCTTTGGGGAAGGCTAATGATGCGAGAAGACCTGGTGGACTCCATTCGAGATCCGTAGCCCTCCAAACGGTTTGCGTATCTACAGGAAAGATCAGCGCTAGTCGCTATTAGCGCCTGCTCCTTAGGAAGACTTGAGTAAGGCCTTTCCTAAGTCACTGAGTTCCTGTGGACCCTGGTGTGCGTTTCAGGGGAGCCCTGCCCAGAGAATGGGAGGAGTCCAGGCTCTGTATCAACCCACCACAGCTCTCCGCGCAGTGACTACGCCACCTATGCCAACAGCAACCACGCCGCCCCCAGCAGCAATGCCTCGCCCCCCGAAGGCTTTGCCTCACACAGCCTGCAGACCAGTGACGTGGTTATTCACCGCAAAGAAAACGAAGGCTTCGGCTTCGTCATCATCAGCTCCCTGAACAGGCCCGAGTCCGGAGCCACCATAAGTAAGTGACTGGCTCGTCTATGTTCGGATGAGGGGGTCTAACATTTGTTTGTTCTAATGGTAGAGATGCCGGAAGAATAGATCAGAGAATGGCTATGGATGTATTGAGTGTCCTAGAAGTCCCAGGCTATGAGCACGCGCGCACACACACACACACACACACACATAAACCACCCGTAACAATGACTAGGCAAATATCACTCCTTAGGTTCAAGAACAGCGCAAGGCTACAACAAATGTGCCCCAACTCCTCAGCCCCATAAAAGCTGTTACTTTATGTGTAAGTAGAATAAAATGAAAGAGGGCGGCATGTGGTCACGTGGCTGTGAGAGGAGGCATGAGCCATTTTCATGGGCTGGCGATGAAATGTCTATTCTGAGAGCTGTTTCATGGGATAAACCAGAGGACCGAGGGGGAGACTGATCAGGCAGAAGCCCTCAGAAGACAAGGAGCTCAGGATCAGGAAACGCACAGAACCCCAAGCTGGCTGTTCTGAAGTGAGCAAGAGAGAATGGCAATGATTGCCATGTGGAGGTGGGCAAAAGCCAGGAGGTACAGGCTTCGTATGCGCTGGTAGCAAATCCGGGTTGCACTCTCCGTTCCTGGAAACTAGTGGAAGGTTTTGAGCAATGAGATTACTTTTTTTTTCTTTAAAGATGCTTGCATAAAATTAGATGGACATGGGGAGAAAGCAAAACTGGAAATATAAAACATAATTGAGAGGACTTTTTTTTTCTTTTTACTTCATTAATTCTCCTGCCTAGGTTTTTATTTTATTTATTTTTCTTTTTTATTTACTTTGCATCCCAAGAATGACCCTTTCCTCTTCTCTTCCCAGTCCCCTCTTCCCCGTTCCCTTTTGCTTTCCTTCCCAGGAAAGGGAACCCCCCACCACCACCATCAACCTTCAAGCTGGGAGGCTTTTTTAAAAATAGCCCCTGAGACAGAGACTCTAGGGTCCTCCTCTGGGGTAGCAGTTGTAGGTAGGATAGATAGATTTAAATTCTGGGGATTCTTCAATATTAATGTCCCATGAGTCTATACAACAGAATGACAGAGGTCCCCTTCAGCCAGCTACCATTGTAGATGGCCTCCTGGGTCCACAGCCATCAAGCAGAGGACAGAAGGGCGGACAAGAAAAAGAGTCACTTTTCATATTCAAGTTCTTTGGCCCAAAATGTTATGTCTATATTTCATCTAAATGTAGAAGTATTCAAATAGTAAGTTTGCCCGTGCTATTTCCTAAACTTCTTATAAAGTGTGGTTTCCAGTTTATGTCTGGTGGGGGGGGGGGGGCTATGTCAAGCAATATTAAAAAAAAATCAAATCAGGAATTAATAAGAGTTTCTGTGGTCAGGTTAATGTTATCAAAAGCCTACCAGAAGCACATGGGTAGGACTGCCCTGTTCAGCATGAGCCATAACGAATTCAAGAGAGAAAAGTACAAAAGTGTCAAACCTCAGCCAACATGTGCAGAGGCCAAATTACATATGCCTGGAAGTACAGTTTCATTTTTCTTTTTCTTCCTGATAAGCTGGAGAAATACATCCAATCTTTAAGCATAAACTCAAAGCAGGATTCTGTCGGTACGATGGATTCACCAAGATTAAAAGGACACAAGACTGGAGATTTTCATGAATTATATAAACAGCCTCCGAGTAACTTGGGGGAACGTTCGCAGAGAGCTTTTGCAGCCATCTCAAGTCCTCCAAGTTGTTTATTGCGGCAGAATACCTAGCGAACGGGGGCGGGGGGAATAAAAAGTATGCTGCCACCATGAAAATGTTAAGCATGTGCTTTAAGTCTCAGCTGTATTTAAAGCATGACAGCTTTCTTTCTAGGTGTGCAAGGAGATGTGTGCATGTGCTTTCTCTATTGCAAGTCAAATCCATGTGTAAACAGGTATGAGAAAACAACGGGTGCTCATGCTTACAATTAGTGTGCGAGCTTTTCTGCCTAATCAAGTGACATCAGAAACTAATCGACTTTCAAAACCGTATGATTTATAGAAATATAGTCTCTTAGCACCCAAAGTCTCCCGGTTGCTTCCTTTCATACATTTATTTCTTTTCAATTTAAAGATTTGAAACACAGACTGCCCCATGTCAAAGGCAGCTATTACGCTGATGTCACATTGCAGTCAGTCATCATGTATAATTTGCAGCAAGCACCTGAAAGGTTCCTGGAGCCCGTGCTCTTTCATACCTCTGTAATAATTTTGATCTCTAGTTTCAGAGAGAGATGCTAAGCCCCTTGTGAATGTCAAAGGGCCATCCTTGGGCCTCCTAGCCATTGTCAGTATACCAAAGGTTGTTGGACTCTGGGCATCTGAGACAGGGCGATGCCACCAGATACTCTGGGGTCACGGTCATTCCCCCATTTTTCTGGACTTGTGGTAATTTCCTTTTCCTGTCTTACCACAGCACCAAAAAGCATGAGCAATTCCTTGTGTTGTTTGTCTCCTGTGACAACTGAAGCTGTTTCAGCGGTAGACAAGGGTCACTGTGCATCTGACTGGCAGGTCATCACATATAGGCAAGCAAGTGGCAGGAGGTTAGCTGATCAGGCGCTGCGACCATGCTGCTTGGGTTGGGAACCTGGCTCTGTCATTAACTAGCCATGTGACTTGACTTTAAAATTTCCCTTCATTATAAGGAAACATTTGCGTCCATCTTTTTTACCGTGGGTCACACTGAGCGCCCTGTGCCCAGGCTCTTCTAGCTTGTCATTATATGATGCCATCCGTCACGACAGAACATAAGGTGCTTTGTGGGTTTTGCCCCTGTGTGTAAAATCTTGGGAAACATTGGGTCCTGGAAAACACTATTCACTGGCTTAGGCTTTCATTTTAACTTTTGTAACTTTCTATCTTTGATTGTGTGTTGAAAGTGGCTCTTAACACTTTGAATTCTTTGTCCACCTTGGTCTCTTTTAAGAAATGATCTGACACTGGCACTAAATACTCTAAAGCAGCTCCCCTTTGACAGCACTTTAAGGCCATGTGTCTCCCCCATTTTCACATTTGTAAAGCAACACCACATCTAAAATGCACTCAGATGAAAACAAAAAAAAATGCTACTGAAGGCAGAAAACCACACTTTCCTGGTGTTGTTTTTAAACAGAATCCCAAATGTTTGATTTTACCAATAAAGACTCAGGAGCCAGATGCTGGGGTGAAAGCCTGATAGCTCAGAGAGGCAGAGAAAGCACCCAGCTGACCTTGCTATGAAGGAAAGAGCCACTTTTCCACACTGTCTTAAAAACCCTTCAAACTGAATGTCCCTCTTTTCTACTTCCTGTGTGTCTCTGTATGTGTCCTCTGGACTTCCTCTCACTCTCTATTTTGTTTGCTTGTTTGTTTTTTCCTATGTTCACTCCCTGTCAACTGGTTGCTTGCTCGGCCTCTTGACCTGTGGTTGACTTTATTTCATTCTGTTAACAGAAAGCTCCTGGATTAAAGGTGTGTGCTAGGGCTGAACCACACCACAACTTGAAATAGTTTTTCCAGTACAAAATCTAGGGGATCACACTGTGATCAAATATCCTGCAACAACCCTCTTCCCCTCCTCCACCAAGTCTCCCTTAACAGTGCTCAGCTGTCATGGCACACCTGTCCCCTTCAGCGTCACACTCCTTCCAATGATCCCATGGCCCAAGCTCTACTCTAAAGCAAATTCTCCAAAGAGCAACCAATGAGCACCTGAGCTTATGCATTACTGGTTTGTTCTGTGGCAATAGATTTTTCTCTTAACCTCTGTAATGAGTTTATTCATTGTGTAGAGCCTAGAGAGGATGGTTCATACCAACACCAGGGAGGTCAAGGCAGGGGAATTACCATGGGTTTAAGGTTAGCTTAGTGCGGGCTACATAACAAATTGTCGATAAAGCCCAGGCTACATAGTGAGACCCTTCCTTCTGATCTTAGTCTATCAGATCACATCAGGAGTGGCTGCATTGTCATTTTCTGTGGCCGGGTAAGGCTGCTCCCCCCTCAGGGGGAGGTGATCAAAGAGCAGGCCAGTCAGATTATGTCAGAGGCAGTCCCTCTTCCCATTACTATGTAACCCACTTGGACACTAAACTGCCATGGGCTACATCTGTGTAGGGGTTCTAGGTTATCTCTATGCCTGGTACTTTGTTGGAGTATGAGTCTCTGGAAAGACACCTGTGTTCAAATTTTCTGGTTCTGTTGCTCTCCTTGTGGGGTTCCTGTCCTCTCCAGATCTTACTATTTCCCACTTCTTACATAAGATTCCATGCACACTGCCCAACAGTTAGCCATAAGTCTCAGTGTCTGCTTTGATAGTCTGCAGGGCAGAGCCTTTCAGAGGCCCTCTGTGGCAGGTTCCTAGGTTGTTTCCCTATCAGTGGACTTGGAGAGGGGCATGCATGAAGAAGGGGGAGGGAGGGTGGGACCGGGAGGGGAGGAGGGAGGGGTTTAGGAGGGATACTAAGTGAATAAAGTGTAATTAATAAAATAAAATTTAAAAAAAAAGAGAAATTTTGCACATAATATTATTAGAGATATAAAAAGTAAAGGCAAACCTAAAAAAAAAAAAAAAAAACACTAAACAAGTCACAAGAAAAAGGTGCCACAGGTGCTGCTCCTGGCAACTTGACCTTCTGTGAGTCTATAAACTCTGACCTTCCAGTGTTTCTTCCCCAAGCGTCATTAACGGAAAGATATTTAAATCACGCCAGCAGCTGGGAATTAGAAAGTCTCACTCGTTTCTTTACTCATTAGTTTCCTTGGGGAGCTCTGCATCAGCTTGGCAGCATGAAATGCTCTCTACTCCTTACACAGATCTGCTTGGGATTCCTTTGTCAACTCAGTGCCTTAGCTCTAAGCTTAGATTATGCTGAGGGCAGCTCACTCGGGAGAAAGGATGGTCTCATTTACACGGTAATGTGAATACTTAGTAACAGAAGAACTAGCATGGACAGAAACCCCCTGAAAAATACCAGCATTCTTCCAAATACCTGGCCCCAAACGTCACTCAC